GGCGGGTCTCGAACCCGCGGGCTCAGGCAATCCACTCACCTCAGCCTCCCAAAGGCGTGGGATTACAGGCTGAGCCACCCAGCCTGGCTCCAACCTTTCAATTAATGGTTTAACATAATAATCTCTAGTAAACTTTTAGGTTCCTTGCTGAAAATCATCCTTTGGCTGGCCAAAGTCATAAAAGTGATAATACAACTACCTTTGCTCAGGGAGTTTGTGGATTGCAAATGTCTAACAAGTCTCTTGCAGGAAAACCCCTCCAGGCCCAAACTCCCAAAGTTAACCTGATCAGCCCTTTGTGACCTATGTGACAGATAAACTTCCACCATGGCAGCAATCATGTGACTAACCCACCCATCTGCCTGCTCAGTCCATCACCTGACTTCAGTACCTGCGTTGCCTGCCCCTTTGTGATTACATGGAGCAGACCACCACCCAATCACTTTAATGATCTGCCCCCATCATGGGGAATGGTTAAAAGAACTCAGCAACAAGCAGCCAGCTACCATAGCCTTGCTAGACTCTGATGTGGCTATGTGCTCTTTGAGCTATGGCTGTTGCCATGCTTCCTGACTTTGGCCTCCCCCCCCACCTTGGGGAGGCGAATCTTTCTCCCTTCTCTTTCTCTAATTTATTTTTAAATAAACCTTTCTTTGCAAAAAACCAACTGATTTCATTATATGTCATTTTGCATAAAGTCTCAGTTTCCAAAAACCAATTGTTGACATTAATTGAGGGCTTATCCTATGTATCATTGAAGTTAAGTAAAGACTTGTGTGTGTGTGTGTCTATGTGTATATCTCCTTAACTCAGTACCACCCCTATGTAATCCAGTAATCAACATTCTACTTGACAACTTTACTTGGGTATGTGGCAAGCATTTCAACTTAGTGTCCAAACAGAATTCTTGGTAACCAACTTCAAACCTATTCCTTTCTAAATCTTCCTATCTCAGTGCATGGAAACTTCATGTTTGCTTCTGGCAAAATCCTTGGAGTGAAGCTTGACTCAGATCCAACAATCACTCTGGTAGAAATTCTGGCAGATGCTTCCTTCAGTATATGCGGCATCCAAATGCTTTTTACTAGCTGCACTGCTGCTCTTTGGGCCTTGCCTGCCTGCCCGCCCGCCCGCCTGCCTGCTTTTTATTGAGAGGACAGAATAGCTCCCACATTGGGAGGGAACCTGAAGGAGTTGCCCACCATTGTTTCTAAAACAAATATTTTCCAACAAGGTTCCCTGTTTCTGTCCTTTCCCCCAACAGTCAAATTGTCAACACGGTAGCTAGAATAACTCTTTAAAACTGTAAGTTAGGTGATTTCACTCCTCTGCAAAGAATTCTGAACTGGTTGTCTCATTTCACCCACAGTTGAATTCAAAGCATTTACTATAAGGTCCCATAAAGTCTGGCATGATCTAACCTTTGTTAACTTTCATGTTCTTAATCACTCAACGCTACCTGAAAAGCAGCATACTGCTATCCACTCTGACGTCAAGTTTCCAGGGCACTCCAGCCTTACGTATTTCTTCCTGTTTCTCCTCCTGGGAATGGTCCTTTCTCAGCAATAGTTAGGCTTTGCTCTCTCGCCTCCTGACACCTCCATGATGTGTGAGCATGAAGCAAGACTATCTTGGCCTAATTCTGGCTCTGCCAATATATTCTATAACTGTCACAAAACATTTGTGCTTTTATGTGTTTTTTATCATCTTTTAAAAAGAAATAGTAACTGCCTCAAATGCTGCTTGAGGATTGAGTTAAAGTGTGTGAATATCTAGAATCATGCCATATAAGCATTAATTAGTTCTACTTGTATATTCAATACCTAATTCACTTTGTTTCTCTGTACCATTTATTATTGTATAATATTTTTTACTGTTAGCTTGTTGTAATTTTTTGTTTTGGTTAAATATTGAGTATGAAGATATTTTGGTCACCTTTTTATTTTATCTATTGTGCCTGACACAGCTAGGAATTCAGTATATAGTTGTTGAGATGGATAAATCTTTTAGAAGATTTCTAACAATTTTACTCACATGAGTGCTGAGTAAAATTCTCCTCTTCTCCTTCTCTCCTTCCTCTCCTTCCTTTCCTTCCTGTCTGCCAGAATTTCTCAATACTAAACATGATGTCAAACATTACATCTAGAGCATTGTATGCTATTAAAAATATAATTAACTCTTTAATCTATAATTTATTTTAGTATGAGGACTAAATCAAGAATTTAACTTTTCTTACCTTTTTATTAATACAGCTGATTGATTATCAGAGACTCATTTGATGTTTAACATATCTTTTGCAATTTTTCAAAGCAGTGGGTACCTACTACGTGCCAAACTCTGTACTTTGTCTGTAGGACACTAAAGCAAGAAAAAACAGAGAATCCATGCTCAAATGCCACATATTCTGATGGAGGAGGTATATTAATACACAGTGAAATAATTGTTTCCAAGCTATCATCAATTATGAGGAAAAATTCTGTGGTTCTGTGAGAACATACAACAGAAGAGCCTGGTCTAAAATAGAGGTCAGTATCCTTCTGTTAAGATTTTATTATTTATTTATTTATTATTTTTTATTTTTTTTAGAGTTGGAGTCTCACTCTGTCACCCAGACTGGAGTGCAGTGGCCGCTCCCAGCTACCGCAGCCTCGACCTGCTGGGCTCCAGTGATCCTTCTGCCTCAGCCTTCCAAGTAGCCGGAATTACAGGCATGCACTACCACGCCCGGCTGATTTTTTGATTTATTGTAGAGATGAGGTCTTGCTATCCAGGCGGGTCTCGAACCCACGGGCTCAGGCAATCCACTCACCTCAGCCTCCCAAAGGCGTGGGATTACAGGCTGAGCCACCGAGCCTGGCTAATACTCTATTTTAAAAAAAAACTTTGTTATAAAGATGTGGGTACAAATCGGGATTAGGTACCTAAGTAATGCATGTGCATATGGAGTTTGGGCCTCCAACTGGTTCTCACTTCCCCTGATTTAGGATCAATTGCCCTTTGTGTATGTTATGGGTTTCCCCACATCCTTTAAAAATGTTTATTTAGAACAATGTATTTCTTTAATTTATCCTGTTATTTTAAAATTACACCAACAAATAAAATGATACAAAAATTATTGATTAGAATTTATTACAGTAATCTTTACACTTAAAAATACCAAACAAATTGATATGGTATCTTGAAAATCATAGCATTCTTTTTTTTTTTGTTGTTCTGTACTCGAGTAGTGTTTATTTAGTGGACTTTGGTAAAGCCCTTTATACATATCATTAATCTCTTCACAGTACACATTTAATGATGGTCTGGTAATCTAAAAAAAAGGCCTACTTTAAAGACTAATCAATAAATTAAAACAAAACCCACACAATGCTTCCCACCCCAAAGGCTAGTGGTTGTGAGTTGTATTTATATTGAAAACTCATGTTTTAAAGATAGTCCCGGTCTCCAGTCACCCATCCCACTCTGGGTATGCAGCAATAGTAATCAGTTATTTTAGTCTACTCCCCCATAAGATTATTAATCCAGTGTTCTTTAGCTTTTTAAATATAAATTGGGAAAGTGTTATCCATAAGCTTTCACAAAGGCATATTCTTCTATAATAAGAATGACATATAAACCAATCAATAAAAGTATTTGACAAGACATTAAATTACCACGGGCACTGGTTGTTGTTTCAAGTTGGGATCTCTGTCGCAATATCTTACATTCATAGTGTTATTGAGGTAGTTAAAATACTGAAAATTGGACTCCAGGTTGCTGGGTTCTGAATGTGAATGTGAGAGAGAGATTCTCTTTTAAACTCACTTTCCTGGAGTCCGGAAGCGGGCGGCCCGCGCCCGCTGGGCCTACGGTTCTGGAGGAGGGAGGGCGCGGCCCGGCTGGCTCCGCGGCGCGCCATGCTCCTCGGAGGTCGGCGGACCGCGCCCGCAAGCCCTGAGCGCCCCGGCCCCGCCCCTGCCA